CCACTTTTCGATGTGACGTGAAACTCATACAGGGTACTTCGCTGCAGTCTACACTACCTCGCCGCACGGTGAGCTCAGACAAGTTATAGCTGATCGTGGGCTCTGCCTTGAAACGCTCCTACTGCCGCCCGTTTCCACCCACTTACCTCGGGAGCTAGGTCATCTAATCCTTTTGTCTATCGAACTAAGTCATCGCAGAGAATACAATACAGTTACATATTACATCGACAAGAATAAAGCGCCTCCTTCAAATTCATTCGCTATTTCGTGTTCAGTCTGCGAGTTCCAGCGTCCTTGAGATGTCATAGGACTATCTTCTTCTGAATTCCACGAATTTCTTCCTTGTAACCAAATGTTTCCTTGCACAGCCGACCACTAGGTGATGTGTTTCAGGCCTCATCCGTCGTTTTTCTATGTGGAATTGGTATGCAATATGTGGTTTTCGGGTGAATTTCTATTACGTATGCTATTCTGTCCTAAAGTTGGCCCATTCCTCAAGACACCCGTGAATATTATTGATTTTATCGCCACGATATCTTTCTACATCGACTGGGCTCTTGACAGTGCGTTGTCAGGAGCGAATAGGTACAGTAACTTATTACTGTTTACCTATGGGGAGTGTGTCATAAACCCAGATTTTGCAGAGATTCTGTCGAATTCTTCTCAATTATACGGATTCTCCGATTATTCAAGCTGACACAGCACTCAGTAGGCTTGAAAATACTCATACAAACATTCAAGGCATCTGCACAGGTGAGCTTTGTGGGTATACGGCAAGAGAATCGTAATTTCGCCGCGTCAGTCAACGTCGCGTGCGACGTCGCGCCCGCTAATGACGGCGATTTTGGGTGGTATTGGTTGAGATCAGACAGTGTGTGACCGAAAATAGTCATCAGGGTCCACATGTCCTTGTCTACATGAAATCCGATGCTCCAATCAAAAGGGTAGTGCAAATTGAGGGAACGTCGCGCCCACTGCCGCGCGCGACGAAGCGACAATTTGCGATTCTCTTGCCCATCTCCCGAGCTTTGTTTTCTTTTGAACTAGCTCTTTAACCAATAGTGCGTTAACTTGATCATTACCATGGAGATTGGCTCCACAATGAGGAATTAGTGCGCCTAGTTGAAGGATCACGGGGGAAGACCATCACAGCATCGCCCTGCACTTGCGTTTTTATTCTTTACTGCTTTCCGAACATCTCAGGAAGCCTATTCTACCAATGATATTGAGGTTGATCTAGAGCCTCATCTGGTAAGGTAAACTTCCTGGAGTGCACGGTTCACACTGATTGTATGGGCGGGGTCGGACCTACCACTGGCTTGACGCGTGCCTCCTTTTTGCTATATTATGGTTAGAAGAAAAAGGGAGCACCAGGAAGGAAGGTACTAATGGTATGCCTCTTTCTGCTACTCAAAGGCAATCTGTACACCCATCTGCGAGGTAGATCAGTGCCATGTCCGAGGTGGGCGGATCCAGAGCTATAAAAGTATGCCACTTTCGCCACTAGATAATGGTGCCGAAAATAAGGCTGTAGCATAGTGAGAGGGTCTGTATTTTGTTTGGGGCCGTTCATCCGATGCAGCGCGTGCATCGATGCCGAGGTACCGTAGCGAACAGCATGAACGGCAGCTATCTAGTATCAGCCAGATGTAGAGAACAACAGCTCCTCAAACGAACTCTAGAGGCGCGGACAAGTAGCGTAATTGACTTGGCTGCAGCATAGCTGATAGTGCGGCGTGTTGCGTGTCTACGTGCTTTGCCTGCGGTTAGAGGCCCAGGTGGCACTCAGCAACCACTACCCCTCAGTCTGATTTTTACGCCCTTTCTCTCCCTCGCGAAGAAAGAGGCACACTTCTTCAGACCCGTTCACCTAGCCCATGCCAAATACAGAGATCCTTAGAAGAGCATATCGAATGCGTATCTTCGAGCGATTAGCGCTGATCTGTCCTCGAAAGGCATTAGGTGCACCAAGCAGGAGGGCGGGCTTGCGGTGGGTGTGCGAGCAGGGTACGGCATCGTGATGTGTGAAATGGTGGTGTCACTACGACCACCCCCCCCCCTTTTTTTCAATTACCCACCTACCCACCGACCTAGGACACCCGACATACCCACCTACCTACGCACTTTCCCCCATTTGTCCAGTTTTTCACCAAAGATTCTTCCGATCGGCGGGGACCACCCTTCCCCATCCCCACAGGCTCCAAAGTACTACCTTTCGCGTCACTAACAATAATTATTTACTGATGATTATTTACTGAATTACCAAAACAACACACCTATCGTGCATTGCCTTCAACAGAGGAGGCTAGCACAGGGAGCGATGATGTACCCTCGTGTGCGAGCCGAGATTGAAATTGGCGCTCAGAAATTTCCCACTATTTGAATATGCAGCCATATGGCCGTCTTGACTCGGTGTTATCGCCCATAATCCTTCAGCATATGTGCTGAATGTTTCGAAGCTCAGAGCTGAAAGAAGCTCGTCTTGTTGAATTTTAGAAGCGCGCACCTTATCCTCATTCATTTGAAATGTGCACCCAATAGTTCTCTGCTATCTTACACACATGAATCACCTCTTTTTTGTTCCAGGAGCTTTTTCTGTTGGTGTTCTTCGTTCTGCTCGGTATAGTCATCTTTGCCGCACTTGTCTACTATGCCGAACGGGTCGAAGATAACCCTGAGAACCAATTTGATTCGATTCCTGTCGGATTATGGTGGGCCGTGATTACCATATGTACAATCGGATTTGGTGATCTGGTGAGTGTGCTGACAAAAGAAACTACGATTTTTCAAGCCTTTGAAGCAATCTCCCAACAAAGTGTTTCAGGTACCGAAGACATATCTGGGCATGCTGGTTGGGTCAGTATGCGCCCTCATGGGAGTGTTAACCATCGCTTTACCGGTACCTGTTATTGTCTCCAACTTTGCTATGTTCTATTCGCATGCACAAGCGAGGTATGGTTGTTGTGGATATGATTCTGGATATCTAAGTGGGCAGCGAGCACTTTCAAAGGTTCCTAAGCGAAGTTCGAAAAGCTTCCTCCTCAGGTCAAAATTGCCGAAAAAGCGACGACGTGTGCTGCAACCGCAT